CCTTCCCAGCCAGAGCCCTGCCAGGGCAGCTTTGTGCCCAAATCTGGCCCTGAGTAATTGCGCAGCAGCCTTGGAGCCCTCCGCGCGGGGGCGGCCCGACGCTTTCCCAGGACAGCGGCTTCAAAGAGGACCTGGCTGCCCCCACAAGCCGGGCAGACACATCCCCAGCCCTTGAATATTTCTTAGTAATATATTTTAAAAGCTAATTTTAAAATTTTGTTCATATGTGCACATAAAAGCTCCATGAAGAATAAATATTTCAAAGACAATATTTCTTTGTAGACACAAATTAGCTTATTCCAGGATATTTTGTACTATTCAAATACACAAATTGGTCATATGGATTAATTGATTTCAAAAACAGAAATAAAAGAGGAGAAAATTTTTAAGTAATGTCATTTAGAAATCTGAATTTTTGAAAATTTTACATAGTCACTTGAAAAATGTTGTGTGACACAAGTTGAGATATGCTTACAAAGGAGCAAGAGAGGTACATAAAGTACCTTTAAAGTGATTTGCTACATTAGCAGAAAATTGGATATTGCATGAAGATCATCAAATTAATGACTGTAGACCAATCCACAGCATGGTCATATGTGTAAATAAAGGCACCTTTTTGACTCTTTTATTTTATAGCTGTTAGGCATCAACCTCAGGAACTTTCATGCACACTCATACTAGGCAATCACCCTGCCACTATTCTAGTAATAAACAGATTTGGAATGAGTCCACTCCCATTCATTTACTGTCTATTACAGATTTCAGACATAGCAACAGAAATTTATTGCGTCCCAATTCCTAACATAAATAAAATTATTATTTTCCAAATTTATCTCTTATTCATATCTCATTGTGATTTTAAGATACTGAAGATTTTTTTTACAATATATCAGGTTTTCTAAGTTAAAAAATTATAAGATTAATAATAAATAACTTTTAATCTTTCTTGTGTATATGTCATTTATCTCCTTTCTTTGCTTAAATGTTTCTATTTTCTATTTAAGTATATAAACAGCATTAGCTGGCATGCCTCAGGTTCAAGATTTTAATTGAAAAAATTAAGTGTTTTGCCATCTAAAAATGGTGCTGTCTCCTGATTTGCAGAAGTGGTGCTCATTTCTTTTTCACTTTCAGTGTTGTTTCAATTAGAAGTACTCACCAAGATGCACCTTTATCTGTACTCCTCATTAAAGTGTTGATTAGACATGAGAATAATCTCTTTAACTTATGGATTACTATATCTAGAATGTATTTTTCTTGTTTTATAGATTCTCTTTACAGATGTTCTAATTAGATTTTTCCACTTCCATTCATTTGTACAACTTTTATGCCATTGAGTTTATATTCATGTTTTTTAATATTAATAAAATAAAACACCAAGACTTCCATGATAAAATTCTGCAGTACAAAACATATTGAAGCACCTTAGAATCTAATGATCTGATCCTTAAATTTACCTAGAACTCAGTTATTAACCTATACTGTCTGCTTGCCCACCTAATGGTAGCTTATAGTCCACTTTCTGATATAATTTATCCATTCATATTTGTTACTTACTGAGTTATTTTTATTTGTTTGAAATTTATTTTAAAAATTGTCCTCCTTCTTGATTCTCAAGTGAATTGCTATTAATTACCTGCCATATTCTTTTGTGATTTTGATTAATTTATTCATTGGTATAGGAGATTGAACTTAGTGGTAGTCTTTCACCAAGCTCCATCCCAAACTTTTTCATATAATAATCTGACACAGAGTCTCATTGTTGCTTAGGGCCTTGCTAAATTGTTGCAACTGGCCCTGAATTTGTGCTCTGATTCAGTCTCCCAAGTAAAATCATTTGGAAAAATGTACATGTCAATCTCCTGAACTTTTTGTTTGTTAAATTCTCTTTACTGGACTGTGGTTATTATTCTTTCTCAATACTAGTATTAAAGTTTCGCTTGCCCTATTTTTTCCCTTTATTTAAGGTTGAGAAGCTTGGCACAGTGCCTCATGCCCTTAATCCCAGCATGGTAGAGGTGGGAGGAAGCAGAGCATCCTAAGTTGGAAGCCAGCCTGGGCACTTAGTGTCTCAAAATTAAAAGTGGTCATTTAAAAAGGATGGTGTGTACAGCTCAGTGGTGGAGTACCCCTGGGTTCCATCCCCAGTACTGGGGGTCAGGGAGATTGAGAACCACAAATTTAATGATCATTTGTATTTTCAATTATATATTTGATATTTATCCCTAATATTTAATTTATTGTCATTTATTTTTCATTGTTTAGTATTTCTTAATACTTTTAAAACTGTAGTTTTTGGCATTCTTGTTTCTTAACAGAAACACTAAGAAACCTCATTTTCTAGGCCCCACAGATTTTACAGGATAGCATGGCTCTGTGTTATGGCTTTTCTTGGGGTGCTCCTTGAACTAGTTTGCCTTTGGTTGAGAATTTTAGTTTCAAACTTCTCTCTCCTGGTGGCTGCACATAGGGGAAGATCTTCACCAGCAAGCCCAGTTAAGTATTTAAGGGCTTTGTCACCCTTGCTGTGCATACACTCTCTCCAGACACTTAGCTTTCTAGGAAGAAAGCTGTGGAATTCTATCAAAAGTACATAAACTTTTCTTCCACCTGGTTTCTGCACTGTAGGTTCTTTGATGTTCAATGGTTTTTCCTCTTTCTCAATGTGACTAATTATCAAAATATGCCACCAGTTCTGTGTCACAGTAGACAGAAAACAGTTCTCTAAAAATCCAGAATATTGGAGCTACGTTCTCCTTTCTCTGACACCAAAAGGGGAAAACTGAGAATTGGGCAGTTTCTCCTGATCACACTGGTGTGTCAACTTGGGGGAAAAGCTGATCTGTGAGAAAGGCAAAAGTTTTCCTTTACCATTTAGTGAGGCTGTTCTTGGTTTTGCCCTCTATCTCCAGTTCTTATTAGTTTTACTACAACTATTTGGCTGGGTATTGAGGCTGTTTATATACATTTATGTGTGGTTGTGGGAAAGAGAAATCATTTGTATAGCTGTTTTTGTGGAGTCTAAACTCCCTTCATCCACTTGGGAGTTCTTGTTATTAGAAGTGGAAATGTTCCATTGATGAATGAGTAATTGTAAAATTAAGTGCATGAAATTAAGTGTAGATGTGTTAAAAGTAAAATTCAATGGTAACTTTGGAAAAATTAGTTCTTGGAGTTATGCAGGAAGAGAAAACCACAAGAGTGAGATTCACAAATGAATGGAAGACTTGGGATATGGCTTAGGGTAGAGCATATTCTGGATTAGATCGGAATATCATCAATCAATAAAATAAAAAAATTAAAAACTGATTTTAATTTAGTGTTTGCAGACCCTCCTTTTGAAAGACATTGTATCTAAGTGGAATAATGGAGAATAATCTTTGTTCTTCTTTAACTGTATTTTTCAATTTTTACATAATGATCATATGTAAAACTTTGAACATTTTAAAAATTACATATGTAACACCAAAAATGCTAAAAAAGTATTAAGTAATAAATTCATAAAAATTTAATCTACAGTCATCATGAAAATTTCTTCCTGATTTATTAGATAAACTGAGTATTAATTTTCTCATTCTTAATGATAACACAGGTCTGGGGTTGTTTTTCAGTGCTAGAGAATTTTTCTAGCATGGATGAGGCACTGTTTGTGATACTCAGCACCACATATAAATAAATAAATAAAATAAAGGTCTATCAACAATTAATAATAATACTTTTTAAAAGATAACAGAATAAGTTTCAAGGGCAGATATGCAAAGTACTTATTAATATTGAAATGGTGAATTCAATAACAAAACCTGAGGGCAAATTCAGAAAATATTCTTATTTCATAAACTGAATTGTACAGAAAGTCTGTAGAAGAATGATGTGGTGCATATGAAGTGTGTTGTGCATACAAAAGAAAAAACATACATGCAACTCAAGTTTCACAGCATTAGAGGAACATTGGATCAACAAATCAAGACTAAATCCAGAATGTAGCTTGTTTTGGCAAATAAAGTGTTTCTGTTGTTGTTTATTTGCCACGCTGAGATTTGTCCTCAGGCTTCATATGTGCTATACACGTAATCTATCACTGAGCCTCACCCCCTTTCCCTGAAAATATAGTTTTATTGGAATGCTATTAGGCATTCAATTATTATATATTGCAGATTTTAGGCTATGACCACAGAGAACTTCTGATCCACAAAGCCTGAAGTCTTCATGATGTGCTCCTCTAAAGAAATATTTGCAAATTCCATTGGTATTAATTTTAATATCACCAAATATATTGACATATTGGTGGAACAGCGATCTCTATGTGCAATCTACCAGCAGCATTCAGGTTAATTTGAGAGTCAAATATTTGAGCATTTATCCACTGGTTATGAAAATTAAAATCTAATTATAAACTGAAGAAAAATCTATAGAACTACTACTGAAATACACCATTCAAAAATCAAAATCAAAGATATCATGAATAGCCCAGAAATGCTCAGGAACCATCCCAGATTAAAAAAAAAAAAAAAAAAAAAAAAACAGAAGAAACAAGACCACTGGACACATGAATAATTGATATTAAAATTTCCCAAAATTGGATTTATTTTGGTTCAAAGACAATTGTTAAAATAACTGTCAAATTTTGAATAAGATTTGTAGAGTAGATATTCACAATATAGTTTACTTATTTTGATCATTGCACCATAGTTACAGAGATAATTTCTCATTTTTAGAAAATGTGAGATTTTTTTATTTACAAATAAAAAGACATTGTGTGCATCTTGCAAATGGTTCAGAGATAAAAACTGTTATATATGTAGACTTATCTAGAAATGAAGAATAACATTTGGGGATGTTTCTTATGAATTCCTTTCACTGCTGTCTTAAATCTTCTATAAATCTGAGATTATCAAAATAGAACATTTCTGAAAGAAAAATAAATTTTTAAAATATTAACAAGTAACAGCAAACACAATAAAATAAACCATGAATCTGTATAGGTATAATAAATGAACAAATTTAGTGGTGAATGATACACATTTATATTTATATTAATATTTATAGTCTCAAACTATCTTCACACAAATAATAATTACAAAGTAAAATCCTGCAAATACCACATTAATGACCAATATTAACATCAGCAGTAATGAGGATATTATAGGTCACATGATGTGATTCAAACTGAAAATCATAGAATTGATTTCTGTGGTACTCTTGCCAAAAACATGTAATCTAGCTCCAATCATAAGGAAACCAGAGAATCCATTTTAAGCACATTCTACAAGCTTTCCCCCTGAAAAATTCAAGGTCATGAAGGTTAAGAAAAGACCAAGGAATATTTAATTCAGAAGGCATCTATAAAATAAAACAATTAAGTTCATTTCATGTCTCTGAAGGAAATATTTTTTTTATAAAGAACAATATTAGGCTACTAGAAAAACATGAAAATAATCTGAGGATTAAGTGGTCCAAGGCATTATGATAGAATGTATAAATGCTGATTTGAGAAACAGCATTTGCTTAATGTGTGTGTTTTTTTGTTGTTGTTGTTGTTGTTGTTTTTCTTTATACAATCTTGGAAAATACTAGTGAATTTGCAGGTTCTAATGCAAAGTACTTTTTCCCACTGAAGCATTTTAAAATGAATTGTTAACATATGCCATCTTTCATGATAGGTTTAGTATTTCCTACAAGTCAGAACATGCTAGATAACAATATAACCTTCATAATGAAACTGATACAATTAACAACTATGCTGTTACCTGTTAATATTTGAAAAATATACTCATAATAAATGAATGTTGAATTGTAGTTATCTAGCATGTTCTGACATGTACGAAATACTAAAAATATCATAAATGATAGCATATGTAAGCAATTCAATTTAAAATGCTTCAGCAGACAAAAGTACTTTATATTAGAACCTGTAAATTTACTATTATTTCCCAAGATTGTATAAACAAAGAGAAAAGGAAAAAAAATAAAGATAAAACACTAAGCAAATATTCTTATTAGAAAAATTATTAAGTCAGTGCCTGAAATATAAATTTAAAGATGGCAGTATAATAATTGCAATACATTAATCCATTAGTCAATATAGTAACCAGCATGTAAAAATAATGTTGCCTAATTCTCTGGACCCATATTCAGTGATATAATATAAATAATCCATCATTAATGTGATATTTAGATCTACCAAATTAGTGTTGACTTGGTTGCTGAATTGAGCTTAAATGCTAACATTTAGATAGTCTGAAAACACATCTAATAAAAACTGGTTTGCACTTGCACTTCAAATTTTCTTACAGATATAAATAATTTTCATATTTTGATAATTTCATTATATATATGTTACATCCATTTCAATAAAGTATTTACATCATACATTTCATAAGTAATTTAAATATTATATTAACAGTCTGAAAAACACAATATTAGCTTTCATATTTTTTTTCTTAAAATCTCTGTATATCCTTATGATGTTTCCAAAAGTAAATCTTGTCTTGTCTTATTAGTAATTCTTAAGGCAGAAGCTCCCATGGTCAGGATTCAAATTCTGCAGCAAGTGAAGAGAAAAAGAATTATATTTTTTCTCAAACATTTTATAAGTATAAATCAGTGAAGAATTTTAGAACTTTTCATTGTTTATAAGAAGAAAAAAAGATATGTCCACAATACAAAATCACTATAGAATGCAGTATGCCCATATTTTCATACACAGTTGTCATTATGACTGAGTATCAGAGCTTTGGGTTTTCCACCCCTTATGCATAAATTCGACAACCATATGCTAGGGTATTCTGGCAAGAAGTGGGATGACAACATGGAGATGATAATGGACACCTCTCAACAGTCATATACAATAGCTTCAAAAGCAGACAATCAGGCAATTTCCATACAGAGTCATTGGCATTAGGACAAGGATAAAACAGGATACTACTGGAACACTTAGAAGGGACTTCTGTCCCAAATTTGTGTCAGTGTTTGAGGTCCTTCAATGGAAGTGATACATGAGTTAATACCTGAAGTAAAAGCAGAAATTGAGAGAGAAAGGGAAGAGGTGCATGCAGACACCAAGATGAGAAAGAACACTTGTGGAAACACAGTGGTCCAGTGTCACTAGAATTTAGAGCAAAGTGCCAGTAAAGCAAGTGAGATGAGATAGCCTGAGTAACCTGACAAAAATCCAGTTGTTTAGATATTTTAATTTTTGGCTAAGAAATTTCATACTTTTCTTGAGGCAAATGTAAACTAATGACAGAGTCATGACAGGGTATTTTAAATGTGTGACTGTTACTAAGTCAGTCTGGGCTTTTGGCCATAAACCACAGAAAATGGGTGATGCCATTTTTCCCACAAAAGAATGTCAGTGTATAGACTGACAGTTTCATAGTGGGGCAGAAGTGGGAAAAAAGCAGTTTCACACTTAAGGTCTTTAATTTGTTGATATTCAGAATTGGAAAAAATACATAGCTCTTTAATTGTAATTGATTTCAGAAGTTATGACCAGCAGTTTTTAAACATTTGGCTCATTATAGATGTGCACTTGATGAGTTATGTGGTAAATACTTCCAACTCTTATATAAATATCACCATGTAAAGTGTTCTTTGTATAAAACTCTTCTCTTGCTAATTCCCCAAATAGGGTCTAAAATATATTACTGAACATAGTAAGTATGTTGTAGTGATAACAATAAGGTGGTGTCTAATGCCTTTACACATTTGATGTGAAAACAAATGATTTTGACTGACACAATTCCCATTCCTGTCTTTATGTTCTATTTTTAAAGAAAATTATTTTAAACAAAAATTTTTACTGGTGCATTTGACTATATATAATAGAGGAATTGATTATGACATATTCACAGATGCACATAAAATAATTTGATCACTCTTCCTCTCTAGTAATTTTTTCCTCTCCTTCTCCCTTCACCTTTGAAGGCATTCTGCAGTGATTACGGAGACATATCTTTGAAACGTGATGAAAGAGTTTAAAAAACACTCTTCTATTCAGGCTAGCATGATATGGCAAACTAATGTTCCACAAGGAAATGTAGAACTATTACATTAAGTTTTAAATAAACTAGCTTATGCATAAGTAAAAAAGAAACGTCACTTTCTCCCAGAAATACATTGGAAAAAGAGTTGCCTCCCAAATCCCCTTTGCATTGTGTCTACATTCATACACAATTTATCATTGTTTTGTAAACGGTAAATTATCTCATTTTTTTCTGGTAAGAACTAATAAGAACAACTTATACTTGCATCCTGCATAACAACTAACTTTCATTCTCTTTTTGTAAATAGTCATCCAATTTCATGACTCTGAAGCACTTCAAACCCGATTCTCTCATTTTTTTTCAGAAAGATATTCATGTAAGCTAAGAAACTGAAAAAAACTTATATCAGCTATTAAATTAAATTGTAATTTACATGTTAAAATTATTTCTTTCTGTCATAACTATTTAACTTCAGTATTGTTTTATAAAGCTTAGATTTGTTCTCCTGTGATTTTTTAGGTCAAAATGCCAAATAAAAGAATAAGGTTGAGGCCACATTTAACATAGGTATGCATGGCTTTACTATGTGTTAAGAAGTTCATCAAAACACCATTGAAGCAGGGTGTGATGGCACATGCCTGTAATCACAGTGGCTTAAGAGGCTGAGACAGGACAGTCTTGAGTTCAAAGCGAGCCTCAGCAACCATGAGGCCTAAGCAACTCACTGAGACCCTGTCTCTAAATAAAATATGAATAGGTTTGGGGATATGGCTCAGTGGTCAAGTGTCCCTTAGTACAATCCCTGGTACAAAGAAACAAACAACCAAAAAAATAAATAAATAAAACCATGGAAGCTCTAAACCAAGGTGCAATGAAAGCAAGATGGTATCTTTTATTTGATCATTTTCAAGCAGATATTTCATTATTGTAATAATACCCCTGATAAAAAAATTGTCAAATATTATAGAAATATCTTCAAATTGGTTCAAAAATACCTGGACATTGTTTTTCTTATTAGCTCTTAAAAATATAGCTCATCATTTTTGGACTAATATTTGACTTGCTCAAATGAACTCTTAGTATGAAGGAAATCACCTGGTTGTACTGAAGGGCTCCTGTTATACAATGCAACTCTAACCCTAACCTAACCCTAACCCTAACCCAACCCAAGCCAGGGAGTTGGGGACAGCACTCAGTGTGGAACAGTGAAATGAATCTGATCAAATTTTTTTGTGAATCCATATGAAAATATCACAGTGAATTTCACCTTCATGTATATTCATAATGCATAATTCAAAAAGAAACTTAAAAACTACAAATAAGTATAAGATCAGCAGAGTAGAAGAAAGAGAACACAGGGAGGAAGAAGGGGAGATAAAGTGGAAGTACTGGTCACTGAATTAGAGCACATTATATTTCATGCTTGTTTAATTATTTCAAAATTAACCTCAATATTATTTATGTCTAAATGCACTTTCAAAATTTTCATAAAATAAAAGAATAATTTAAATTTTCCATAAGAGTAAGTGGAGGGATTGTTGCTCAGTGGTAGAGTACTTGCCTACACATGTGAGGCACTGGGTTCAATCCTCAGCACCACATAAAATAAAGAAAATAAAAGTATTGTTCATCTATAACTAAAAAAAAATATTTTAAAAAGAGAGTAGGTAGAAATTCTCCATATGTGGGCACAACACTAAAAGAATCAGAACAGAGACAGTGTATGCAATTATGGGTTTGTAATTTCTCTAAAGAAGTGTACATATTTCTAGGGGGCTTCAAACTTCCAATTAAAGCAATGTTGGTGGAAGAGAGAAATCAGCGATGTATGACTTTGCAAGTAACAATGCTGCCTTCTTGAAAGACTCTCCTTGGAAGATTCTTGAGGATGCCATTAGAAATATTGATATTTTAAAGATAAATATAGCAGATGATATATACCTTAGTTTATTTGACTACCAAAGCCATTTTACTATGTTGAAGTATATTAAATCATCATGGTTTCCTTAAACACATGCAACTAGAAAATTTTAGTAAAGCTAGAAAGATTCATATTTAGTGAACCAGTTCAAGGACTTAAAGAATGTTCCTTGAAGATATTGTCAAGCATTTATTACCATCATATGTATATTCTACCTATTACCTAGATAAATTAAGCATTTGACACTGAGACAATTCAGAGCAACAGCCACTGGTTCAGAACAAGATAGGTGAGTGGGTGATCAAGACAGATTAAAGCTGCTGCCTAGAAAGTTGGCCCATGAATTTGTTACCAGGGCTTCAGGAGACTGCCCATTCATTCTGTCATTCACAGGCCCCAACACTGATCATCAGAATATTTTTAACCACTTTGCAGGTTATACTTCCTATCATCACAAGTATGACAATGTAGAGAGGAAAAACTATATAGAACATTTTGTCTCTAGATATCATGTAAGGATAATATTTAAAAATTAAAATAAAAATCAGTTAATCTGTCAGGTGTCAGAATGTGCCCAGAGTGTATTTATAGCAACACTGGACACTTGAGGTTTCAGTTATAATCTTTCAAAAATTGTGAAACTTGTTCATGTTTCCATGTAGAAGCAGTTTTGTCACAATATAACTATATGAATCACAAAACTTCAAAAAATACTTAACTAAAAGTCTAATAGACCAGATTACATACAGGAGAACACTAAGGGAAGAAAGCTTAATAGTTTACCTTCAGATGTAAAATGCAAAGGTGAGTGAAAGATAAACTTCCTAGACTAATATTTCAAGAGTACATTCATTTCCTAACATTACTTCCACAAATTATAGGGTCTAGTTCGCTTTTGCATGCTACCAATCTCATCAACCTGTCTCAAAGTTATGCAGTAGACACAAATTAAGGAGACTAAGTTGCTCTCTTTCAGTCTAGGTTTTGACATACTTGTGGAATCTGGATTGTTCTATATGGAAGTGCCTATATTCTCTCAGTTGCATTTCTTAGAATTTTCAGTTCAGATTCCAGGTGGCTAATTCTGAGTTCCATCTGAATTTTTATTGAAGTAAAATTAGTCTTTCTGAACGGCTCTGTAATTTCTGGAGATGCTTCTTGTGTCTAAAGAAAATAAAAAGAATATATTTTAAAACTAATTAGAACCCAAATAATTATTATGTAGTTATTTTATTTAGTTCTGAGTCAAAAATTCAGACAGCAATATTAAATGTGAAGAAAAAAATATTAGACTGTAAACTTCTGTCATCAGTATCAATTACATTAAATCTGAACCAATAATAATAACTGAGTTCTTCCTTTCCCCCTTTCCCTCCTCATTCCCTGCCCTCCTCCTCCTCCTTTCTACTGCTGAATGGAACCCAGGGCGTTGCACAGGCTAGGCTATCTACCACTGATCTGTGCTCAAAGTAATGAATCATTCACATGTTAGCACTCAGATCATCCAACAATTTAAAGAATAATAGAATCAATTCAAAATATGAAAGTTGAAAATTTTAATTTAACAATTCAAAAGTATATTTCTGCATCACATTTTTTTCTCCTCATAGTCTTACTTATGCCCACTATTATCAAATATCCAACAGTTATCTGATGAAAATTATTACTCAGATCAAATTAGCTGAAAGGATGATGTAAATTGTGGTATTTGAAGGGGCATCAAATGTCTTCCTTCTCTTAGAAATCTACACAACATCTTTCCTCAAGAGATATAGAATACAACTATAATACGTATATCCAAAATACAGTTTACAATGAAATGAATTAAAGCAAATTGCAGATAAGTAAGATAGCCTGTAAAATCAGAAATACTTGTTTTTGCTTCTCCTCTAAATCCCATCTTGCTCGATGTTCAATGTCACATTCCCACCATACTCCTTGGCCTCGTTCTATTCGAGTGCTCCGTGTGTGCCTTGGAAAGTTTACTACATTTTCTTCCAACTTCTTTTGATTCCTTTCTATTTTTTCAAATGTATCTTGTATACTTTTTATAAAAAACAAGTTCTGCATAAAACAGTCATAGTTTGTTCTCAAATGTAAATGCTTTGAAGATGCATTTTTCATCTTTGTAGTAAGATCATCCATCTGGATGAATAAAAGAAGTATGAAAAAAACAATATGAAAATAAGATACTGAAAATATTCGACACAAACTCAAACAACAAATTTTACATAAATTCAATCGCCAACATAATCTATACCAGCATTATGAAGAGTAGATTAAGTTTCTATAATAAGGTATATTAGCTTTTCAGTTGGTAAGGATTACATATCTATAAATCCCAATTCTGGCTACATAATAAATGTTGAGGAAATCTATATAGAAGATGATTTTTCCCATACTGAATTTACTATTGGATTAAGTGAATTTAATTTTATATTTTGTCACTGAAATATAGTTAGAATAAAAGTCTTAACAGGCCAATCTACTAACAAAAAATATTGATTGATATCAAATAGTAATTTTGTTAAAACAACTATTCTATTCTAGAATAGGTGTGGATATCAGATATTACTCTCACCTTGGGAAAATTTATATCTCAACAAGATAATCACCATGCAAACACTGTTGGTGACAGAAAAGTCAAAGAAAGTGCATGAAAAATAAAAATTCATTTTATGTGATCTCTGAATAAACATGATCAAGTGAATAAAAGCAGACAAGTCAGAAAGTACAGCATGAATAAGACAGAGATATGGTACAATCGGCACAATTCATGAAGACCACAAAGAGGCAGGGTAATAAAAGCATGTCCAAATATTAACTTGTAAATAGATGCCCCCAGTCATGTAGTACTGGAGTTGTCAAGAGGTGGAAGAATTTTATGGTTTAGCAACTGATAACTGGCTAAGTGACATGGTCATAAAACAAAACTCCACTAGACAACAGAAAGAAATAAAATAGTGATGCTTGCTACAACACAGAGGATCCCTGGAAAAAGTATTCTAAGTCAATGAAACTGGTAAAAAACAAAATACCTACTGTTGTATAAATTCACTTGTATGAAATATCCATTACAGAGTAATTTTAGAGTTAGAACTATAAGCCAACTTCCAAACAAGATTTCCAAAAAGCAAAAGTTAATATCAAGAATCAGCAAATGGTGACTGGTAGTTCAGTGGTAGAGTGCTTGCTTAGCATGTGTGCAGCTCTTGGTTTGATCCTCAGCACCACACATGAATAAATAAAGATAATGTGTCCATCTACAAATAAAAATATTTTTTAAAAGCATCAATATGGGGCTGGGGCTGGGGCTGTAGCTCAGTGGTAGAGTGCTTGCCTTCCATGTGTGAGGCATTGTGTTTGATCCTCACCACCACATAAAAATAAAGATATTGTGGTCTATATACAACTATTTTTTTTTAAAAAAAAGATCAATAAATGGGTTGGTATCAAACTAAAAAACTTTTTCACAGCAAAGGAAACCATCACGAATTATGAACAGAGAGCCTTCAAAATGTGAGAAAATCTTTGCCATGTGCACCTCAGACAGAACATTAATCACCAGGATGTACAAATAATTCAAATTTTTTAACACCAAAAGAACACCAACCAATAATCCAATCAATAAATGGGCAAAGGAACTGAAAAGGCACTTCCCAGAACATATGCAAATGGTCAGAAAATATATGAAAAAAAATTCAATTAGAGAAATGCAAATGCCACACTGAGATTCCATCTCACTTGGGTCAGAATGGCAACTGAAAAGAATAAAATAATGATAGATGTTGGTGGCAGTGTGGGGAAAATGTTCACTTACACATTGTTGATGGGACTGCAAATTGGTGCAATCACTCTGGAAAGCAGTATGGAGAGTCCTCAGAAATCTTGGAATGTAACCGCCATTTGACCCACTTATCCCACTCCTTGATTTACACACAAAATCCTTAAAATCATCATACTACAGTGACACAGCCACAACAATGTCTAAAGTGGCTCAAATCACAATATTGAAGCTATGAAACCTTCAATAGATGATCAGATTTTAAAAATGTGTCATGTACACAGGATGGAATATTAATAAGCTGTGAGAAAGAATGAAATTATGGCATTTGCCAGTAAATGGATGGAACTGGAGATTATCATCCTAAGTGAAATAAGCCAATCCTCCAAATCCAAAGGCTGGAAGTTCTCTTTCATAAGTGAATGCTAACACACAGTAAGGAATGTGGTAAAAAAGAATAGAAGTTCATTGAATTAAGACAAAAGGAATGGGAATGAAAATGGAAACAGAAAAGACAGTAGAATAAATCTGAAACAACTTTCCTATATTCACATGTGAATACATGACCAGTGTAACTCCACATTATGTACAAATATAAAAATGTGAAGTTATAATCTATGATGTAAATATTCAAATACAGTCTACTGTCATATATATCTAAAAAGAACAATAAAGAAACAAGGTACTACAGGGACATAGCCACATCAATGTTTATCGCAGCACAATTCACAATAGCTAGCCTGTGGAGCCAACCTAGATGCCCTTCAATGGATGAATGGATAAAAACATGTGGCATATATACTCAATAGAATATTACTCAGCACTAAAAATAATGAGACCATGGCATTTGCAGGGAAATGAATGGCATTAGAGCAGATTATGCTAAGTGAAGTTAACCAATCCCAAGAAAAACAAATGCCGAGTGTCTTCTCTGATATAAGGGGGGTGACTCAAAATGGGGAAGAGAGGAAGAGCATGGGAAGAAGATTACCTCTACATAGGGAAGAGGGGTGGGAGGGAAAAGGAGGGAGAAAGGGAATTGCATGGATGGTGGAAGGAGACCTTCATTGTTATACAAAATACATGTATGAAGATGTGAGAAAAAAAATAATAGTGTTACCTTAGATTAGGTAGAGAGAAGTGATGGGAAGGGAGGGGAAGGCTGGGGAGATAGGAAGGATAGTAGAATAAAACGGACATTATTATTACCATGTGTATATATGTGAATGCATGACCAATGTGATTCTGCAACCTGTATACTCAGAAAAATGAGATATTTTATCCCATGTGATTCAAATGTATGATATGTCAAGGTCATTGTATTGTCATGGGTAACTAATTAAAACAAATTTAAAAATCACATAAAAATAGAGTCTTGCCTAAAGTTAATAAATAAATAAATAAATAAAAGTACTATTGTTCACATTTGTAAATTACTAAAATAATATATTGGTAGTTTTCTAGGACTTTGGATGTGTAGGGATTAGAAAACTGACAGCTAAAAGGTTCCAGGTTTCTTTTCAAGAACATGAAAATGTTCTAAAATTGACTGTGTAAATGGTTACATAACTCTGTTAATGTACTAAGAGACACTGTATTTTACATGTTATATGGGTGAATTCGATGTCAAGTGCATTACATATATCATAAAAATGCCTTTTAAGAGATGTACTGAAAAAAAACTTAGCTAACATTTTTCATTGTCTAGTTTGGATATCAGTCCAGACATAATACAAATATTTATATGTTTCATAATGTATCTAAATAAATAAAAAAATAAAGAAATAGCCTAAGTTTTTCAATAATTAAACTAAAACCTAAAACATATCTGTATTTTGAGAAAAGCATAAAAAATTTGTACACATTTTTAAAGTCAATTTAGTAATTACTTGCAGATTTTGAATAGATGCACAAAAATGAAGTAAAAATAACAATTTTTCCTGAAACATTCTATTAAATAGTACCTCTAATTTAGTTTTCCTTGTTGTACCATGGAAGTAGAGACAGCATGAAAAGCTGCTGGGTTATAGAAAAAAGTCTCAGCTTTCCTCAGACTAGATATTTTAATGAAAGATGCTGATTTTGTAAGAGAAAAATTAAAAAGAAAATTTTGAGTGTAAGAAATAAGTGCAGTATAAAGATCCCCAAATATAATAAAATCAATTATAATGAAAATATAAAGAAAGCTGTTCATTGACATTAGTATCCCAGAATAACTTTTATTACTTAAGCAGGTGTTGATTTACAGATGACATGTTCAATTTTCTACATACTTGACTTGTCATTTGTCTTAGTTTCTTCATTAAATCCTGTCTTTATATTTTAAATTTATGTGAAAATGTGCTAAATCTTCTAGAGAAGCCTCTGATACACGTTGTAGTTTCAGGGTACCAGCTGGCTGTTTTTCAAGATGTCTCGAAACTACCTGATATTTCTGTTAATGATTTTGTTACTCAGCTCACTTTAAAAATTTATTATTATTATTATTATTACTATTATTATTATTACTATTATTATTATTATATAATGATGTTTACTCTGAAAAAATATCACTACATACAACAGTAAGCTGAATTCCCTTAAGAAAATAGAAGATTGTGTACTCCTGCTTAGTCACTATCACATTCCTTACACAACAGGGTGAGCCCTGTATCTCTACATACTGCCCTTGATAAAGTTGCAATGTTTAACAAACTACTGAAATCTCAATCAAAAATGGTTACACAGGTCTCATTGGTAGTGGTGAATTCTACAGAGGTTATTTTCCCTCTCTTATTAGAGACTCAAGTTAATACTCCACATCCTCACATCTTTAAAGCTTTGCTAAAATAATTCCAATATACTTTCACAAAGAATAAAGGAGATGCTAGGTAACCTGGTCTCCACCTCACTGCCTGTCCACATCTCCTAGATTTCTCACTGGTCCTCACACCACTCCTTCTTTACATAAACCCTGCCACCCTCATTAGTCTGGACATGGGGGTTCAGTGCCAAATTAATGAATTTTAGATGGCTACAATTATCTTTGTCACTATATAATAGGAATTAGGCCATGAAATGAAGAAAACTATTAGCAAGTTATCATGAATATGTGCATCAAATTACAGATGAAATCAAGTGTGGTTTTGCTGCAATTCATCACATTAGTCCCAATTTATCATAATGACAAATAGATGCTTTTAAAGAGGTGGACAAGACATGAATGAAAACAAAAAAAATATCAGGACAGTTATTTTCAGATTTATGTTAAACTTAAATGACTAAAAATAAATTTACCAACTAGAAATATACAAAAATATACTGAAGAAAGTCTATTACAAAATACAGCACCTACATTTCAGTTCAACTGTAAAATCTGGAATGAACTGTAAAAGTAACTAATTTATTTGAAACTAGGTATGAGCATTTCCATTATGTGTTTCATTGTGATCTTCAAGTATAGCAACAAGAAGACATTAAAATTGTTATTCAGTAATGGGATGTAGCTCATTGGTAGAACATGTGTTTAGCATGTGCAAACTTTGGGATGAATTAATAGCACCCAAATTAGATATTGTTTCAGCATTATTGAGAACATATTACTAATGTCAGCATATAAACCTACAAAAAAATCTTAACTCAACCTCTTAAATCTTTATAAGAAAAAATTTCTTAAATTGAAGGGTCAGGCCCAAGTTTTAAAAATTTCCTCCTTTTTAAATATTAAAATATATTTTAACTAAGTCTTTTGTGTTTAGTTGACACATGAGTACCTATAGTTATTTTAAAATATGTACACAGTGTGTAAGAATCAGAGCAGGGAAATTGGAATACTCAGCACTTCAAACATAGATTGGTTGTGCTGCAAATGAGGTCTAAGTTATTTTTGATGGACAACAGGTTGTAGTTCTGTGTTGATACAGAAACACATTCATAATATCTACATTTTTATATTCATCAAGATTCAACATTTTGCCATAAGCAGATATCACTTTGAGTATTCCTTTGAAGACTCTTTATAAAGATATCTTGCTTGATACTTACTTCTTCTGCTTTCTCCTTTCCATATTGATCCAGTTGTTCTTTTAAATGATTAGTTTCATTGATTAATTCCAAATATTTGTTTCCCAGCATGAGACCATATCTGTCATTCCGAGCTTGAAGTTTTTTTATAACATCATAAAATTGGGTTTGGACATTAATGATTCCATCCATTTTATTTTCACCTTTGTTCTGATAGTAATGCAACTGGTCTTCATGCAATGTAGTTTCTCTTTGTAGTTTAGATACCTTCTCTTTAGAAGCTTCCTGCTTTCTGAGGTGTTCATTCCTTTTTCTTTCTTCATTTTGATACCTGTGTTCCATCTCCTTCAGTTGGCACTGTCTTTGTTTTAGTTGTCTGTTTACTTGATCTGTAGCCAAAGTCATTACTCTTGTCTGATGCAGCTCGTTTTCTAGGTCACTTGTTTTTACTTCAGACTTTGGAACCTGTTGGGAAGGAATCTCACTACTACCGTTTAGGTTAGATACATCAATATTCTTTTTTTCCTGTGAACTAAAGTCTTTATCTCTGCCTCTCTGGAAAGCAAGTTCTAGATTTCTTTTTGGTGTTGGACTTTCACCTTGATGGGGTGGAGCAGGACCAGATCTGGCAGGGTGAGATTTGACATCTGTTTCTGGTCTTTCTGTGCTTTGTTTTTCACTCTCAGGTGTGAAATTTTGCAATGTATTCTCAACTTTCCAAATACCCAACTGTTCATTGTCCTGAAATATTTCCATAAGTGTTTCCTCATTCAATTTTTGTGTCCATGGAAGACTGGTATTCTTTTCTCTTAAAATTTCAGTATTCTCAAAGCACTTCTTTTCCTGGTTCTGATATTTTACTGTGTCCATTCCCAGTCTCTTCATAGAGACCTCGTCCTTCTTCTTGTGATATTTATGCAATAGCTTGTTCTCTGTCCCATCACTAGGAGAAACCTAAATAAAACCAAGGATACATTTAGCTAGCACTCAATAAAATGATGTTTCATAATTTTCACTGAAATTAAAGAAAAACCTGTTTATTTATATGGTGAAAGGGTTTCAATAAATAGATACCCACAGAAGAAAAATTAGATGTAAACTTCTGAGCTTATAAAAATATAATTTCCCAAGAGTTCAAAAGTTAATTCAAGAAGATGGATCTATGAGAGTAAAAGAAAATTACAACTTAAAGAATGTAAGAACTGCCAGGTTCAGGGGCTCATGCTTGTAATACCAGTGTCTCAGGACACTGAGGCAGGAGGATCACAGGTTCAAAGCCAGTCTTCAGCAATTCAGTGAGACCCTGACTCATTCATAAACAAATAAATAAATAAATGGCTGGGATGCATCTCAGTGGTTGAGCACCCTGGTTCAATTCCTGGTTATAAAAAAAGAAAAAAATTAAAGATTGAAAAAATCTGCATTATACCAGAATGAAAGAATAGATTAAGTGATTAGTTAGTTTGCCAATGTAAAAAATAAATAAATAACTTTGCAGAAGAGAAGCGACAGAGAAAACCCCACACATATAGTTATCTAATACTAGACAAACACACTATAAAACATGCATTGGGGAAAGGATAGGTTCCTCAACCAATTGTGCTGGGAAAACTGAAAACCCATATGTTGTAGGAGAAATTTAACCCCTATTTCTCAAAAACAAACTGGATCAAGGACCTAGATAATAGATAAAAGACCCTAGACCTATTACAAGACTAGACAGGCCCAGCGCTCCATCTTGTCAGTGTAGGAACTGAATTCCTCAAAAAGACACTTAAAGCACAAGAAGTAAAATAAAGAATCAATAAATGGGGTGGTATCTTTACAGCAAAGGAAACCATAAAGAATGTGAGTAGACAGCATATAGAATGGGAGAAAATCTTTGTCACTGACATGTCAGATAGAGCATTAATCTCCAGAATATATAAACAACTCGAAAAATAACTCACAAAAAATAACACAATCAATAAATGAATAAAAAACTGAGCAAGCACTTCAAAGAAAAATATGTACAGTTAACAAGTATATGAAAAACAATGTTCAACATCTTTAGCGATTAGAAAAATGAAAATTAAAACTACACTGAGATATAAAGAATGCAAGTAACAATAAATGTTGGTGAGAATGTGGGGAAAATCTGAAATGGAAATGAGGACAACCACTCCATTCACAATATCCTCAAAAAAAAAAATTCTTGGGAATCAACCTAACAAAAGAGGTGAAAGACTTATACAATGAAAACTACAGAACCCTAAAGAGAGAAATAGAAGAAGATCTTAGAAGATGGAAAAATATACCCTGTTCATGGATAGGCAGAACTAACATCATCAAAATGGCGATATTACCAAAAGTTCTCTATAGGTTTAATGCAATGCCAATCAAAATCCCAATGGCATTTCTTGTAGAAATAGAGAAAGCAATCATGAAACTCATATGGAAAAATAAAAGACCCAGAATCGCAAAAACAATGCTAAGCAGGAAGTGTGAAACAGGCAGTATAGCGATACCAGACTTCAAACTATACTACAGAGCAATAGTAACAAAAACAGCATGGTACTGGTACCAAAACAGGCGGGTGGACCAATGGTACAGAATAGAGGACACAGAAACCAATCCACAAAACTACAACTATCTTATATTTGATAAAGGGGCTAAAAGCATGCAATGGAGGAAGGATAGCATCTTCAACAAATGGTGCTGGGAAAACTGGAAATCCATATGCAACAAAATGAAACTGAATCCCCTTCTCTCGCCATGCACAAAAGTTAATTCAAAATGGATCAAGGAGCTTGATATCAAATCAGAGACACGCCGTCTGATAGAAGAAAAAGTTGGCTACGATCTACATACTGTGGGGTCGGGCTCCAAATTCCTCAATAGGACACCCATAGCACAAAAGTTAATAACTAGAATCAACAAATGGGACTTACTCAAACTAAAAAGTTTTTTCTCAGCAAAAGAAACAATAAGAGAGGTAAATAGGGAGCCTACATCCTGGGAACAAATCTTTACTCCTCACACTTCAGATAGAGCCCTAATATCCAGAGTATACAAAGAACTCAAAAAATTAGACAATAAGAGAACAAATAACCCAATCAACAAATGGGCCAAGGACCTGAACAGACACTTCTCAGAGGAGGACATACAATCAATCAACAAGTACATGAAAAAATGCTCACCATCTCTAGCAGTCAGAGAAATGCAAATCAAAACCACCCTAAGATACCATCTCACTCCAGTAAGATTGGCAGCCATTATGAAGTCAAACAACAACAAGTGCTGGCGAGGATGTGGGGAAAAGGGTACACTTGTACATTGCTGGTGGGACTGCAAATTGGTGCAGCCAATTTGGAAAGCAGTATGGAGATTTCTTGGAAAGCTGGGAATGGAACCACCATTTGACCCAGCTATTCCCCTTCTCGGTCTATTCCCTAAAGACCTAAAAAGAACATGCTACAGGGACACTGCTACATCGATGTTCATAGCAGCACAATTCACAATAGCAAGACTGTGGAACCAACCTAGATGCCCTTCAATAGACAAATGGATAAAAAAAAATGTGGCATTTATACACAATGGAGTATTACTCTGCATTAAAAAATGACAAAACCATAGAATTTGCAGGGAAATGGATGGCATTAGAGCAGATTATGCTAAGTGAAGCTAGCCAATCCCTAAAAAACAAATGCCAAATGTCTTCTTTGATATAAGGAGAGTAACTAAGAACAGAGTAGGGACGAAGAGCATGAGAAGAAGATTAACATTAAACAGGGATGAGAGGTGGGAGGGAAAGGGAGAGAGAAGGGAAATTGCATGGAAATGGAAAGAGACCCTCAGGGTTATACAAAATTACGTACAAGAGGAAGTGAGGGGAAAGGGAAAAATAATGCAAGGGGAAGAAATGAATGACAGTAGAGGGGGTAGAGAGAGAAGAGGGGAGGGGAGGGGAGGGGAGGGGGGATAGTAGAGGATAGGAAAGGCAGCAGAATACAACAGACACTAGTATGGCAATATGTCAATCAATGGATGTGTAACTGATGTGATTATGCAATCTGTATACAGGGTAAAAATGGGAGTTCATAACCCACTTGAATCAAAGTGTGAAAATATGATATATCAAGAACTATGTAATGTTTTGAACAACCAACAATAAAAATTAAAAAAAAAGAATGTGGGGAAAAGATTCACTCATACATTGCACCAAGCAATTTTTCAGGAAAGCAGTATATAGATTTCTCACAAAACCTGGAATGGAACGACCATTTGACCCAGTTATTCTGCTCCTCAGTGTATACTCCAATGATACTATAGTGACACAGCCACATAAATATTTATAGCAGCTCTTCACAAAAGTTAAGCTGTGGAACCAACCTAGATGCCTTTCAACACATGGAAGGATAAAGACAATGTGTCATATATACACAATGGATTCAGCCATGAAGAATGAAATTATGGCATTTGCTGGCAAATGAATGGAACTGGACACTGCCATGCAAAGTGAAATAATCCAGTCCTCCAAATCCAAAGTCTGAATATTCTCCTTAACATGTAGTTGCTAACACACATAAGGGTGGAGGATAAAAGAATAGAAGTTTGTTGGTTAGACAAAAGTGAATAAAGGGCTGAGAGAGGAGGGGAATATAGGAGAATGAATCTGACATTACATTCCTATGTTCACATATGAGTACATGACCAGAAAAACTCTACATAGAAGAAGTTATATGCTATGTATGTGTAATACACCAAAAGAACTCTATTGTAATGTATACCTAAAAACAATAAATAAAAATTAGAATTCACTATTTCTCTGTTGATCCACTTTTAGGATCATATGATCTACCCTTTAAACAGTTAAAAATTCCAAATATTTTATTATGTACCTATCTGTTGGGATGGCTTCAGTGGCAAATAAAAGAACACTTAACTTTAAGAAGAATAAGTTTGCAATCTGACACCTCATGTATTCAACCAGACCATAGTAAGAGCCTTAGCTCTACATCTACTGAGACATACAAAAGTTCTCCAAGGTCTTTTCCTAAAAATATTCCTAGCATATTCTGTTTTCTAACATTTTGTAGCTGGGAATGAGAATTGCATCTATTGATAAATTATAAAGGTAGAAACAGCATTAAACACATGATCTATATCAATGAACAATGTATCACAATTCTGAAAAGGAGCACAAGGCTAAAAACATAGGCAAATTGCATGATTTTTCTCCAAGTATTTTGCCTCTGCTTCTAGTGCTCATCCACAAAGCCAGTTACTTCTGTCCTATGAATGGATAAACACCAAAGAAGGTCTGTGTTTCAAAATACAAATGACAAATAAGGCAAAATGTGTAAGGCTCTACTCAGAAAATCCTGAGATTTCTACTCAGTAGCACTTGTTTCATCTTAGTGAACATTGAAACATGAGTCAATATAAAATAAAGGAAATAAACAGATCTTATGTATTAGGAACAAATACTTACCAGTAATTTATTTCTAAGAACATATTATGGTATGCCATTTTTTCCAAAGGTGTTTTGTACTGAAGATTACTTGAAGCAAAGTGTTTGTTTCTCTTCTTAAAAGTGATAAAATGATTTACAAAACCAGAGTATTTGCTGGCCCCACTTTTCCTCCTTACTTAACAGTGGGAGTAGTAATGCACATTAATACAACAAGAGAGCAAAGTCACTTCTCCAAACTAGAAGATCTACTATTAGAAGCAAGGGTTTTGAGATCATAGAAAAATCAACTATTCCTCTGGAAAATATTAAAAGTCTTTTCTCTTTATAAGGCTACACTGAAAGTCATCATGGGACTGCTGTGGAGAAATACAGTTGAATTAAGAACATTACTTAATTCAATGGGACAAAAATTGCACCCCTCACCTCCAAAATATGCACATTATGGTTATAAATATATGGATTTAAAACCCTCTATACTTTCCCATAATTAATAGATTTA